CAAAAAATTCTACATTTTGTGATGTGTTCACAACAGAAGACCTGTGTGTGGGGACATACAACTGGGACGCATGTAGATGAGCACTGGAGCCAACAATATGTGCTCTTTGTAAGTTGTGTGTGTCTGTGCTGGGTCCCTGTACTTGCTGTATGTATTAATTATGTACCCAGGGTCTGCACTAACTGCTCCTTAGATTCTCTAGCCTGAAGGAAGTGCCAGGAGAAAGGACAATGCAGAAAAGCTCAAACATTGCTGGTATTTTACAAAATGTGTAATAACTTTGGCCGGGATCCAAAGTGCCATAAAACAAGTGTGAGCCCAAGGGAAATTTACATTCCTTGTTCTGAAACAGCAGTAGCTTATGCTACAAAGCAATTTGCTTCTCAAATTCAAGGGAGGTTCAAAAGCAACTTGTAATATGGCAAGAGAGCCAGCTGCTCAAAACAATTTTGCTGGACTAGTGTGAGGCCCTTGCAAAAGCCTAAATAATTATTTACATTCCAGAATTTGAATATGCATGTTCTGTGCATAGATTCATCTTAAGCTTCAGATGAATAATTTAGTGTTGTTGAAATACTGGGTCTCCCTCTCTGAGGTCAGAGCATTCTTTCCAACCTTACCCTCCCAGAAGACATATGATTTCACTGTTAAATAACTAAATGACAATAAATACTAATTTTGCAACTGAGAATTCATCCTGCTTTGCCAGGATGAAATTAATGAACTGGCATGCTGCAATTCTAAGCATATTTACTCAGAAATAAGTTCCACTGAATGCAGTGAGACCTTCTCCCAGGTACCTGTGCAGAGGTTTGCAGCCATGATGAACCAACTATTAAACATTTATTTGCTCTTTCTGCCCTTCAGTGGTGGGTGCTGCTGCATCCCACCCCTAAAATAACTTTAAGTTCTAGGTTAACTTTAATATTTTCTAATGTGGCTGTGGACCTCATTCCTGGCCTTTGGGGACCAGTGTGAAGCCCATCGAGGGGCAGGGCCTTGGGGGCAATAATGAGCTGGGTACACTGAGGAGCATCTCTCTCTGTTCACTGGCTGGATACTGCTCTATTTTTGTATTGGATTTATCTTTGTGAGTAATGTTTTCTAAGCCTCTGGCATATGGCCCTAGCATATGGGAAGGCGGAAAAAGAATGTTTTAAAACAAAAAAATGCAGATTAATAAATTTTAGCACATTTTCAATATCTCACCTGCAAGTTAACTCCTCCTACTTTTTTTGCATGATGCAGGTTGTAATGGTAATAGCAGTGCTACCTGTTTTGTAATAGCAGGGATCCCTCCTGGCATATCAAACACTTGTTAAACTTGCTTTTTGGCTGTTTTCTTGACTACAGGTTCTGACAGCACTTCCACAGGTCTCTGATTCTCTCCTTCTAGGCCCAGAGGAAATATGTAATACTACTTTTCATCTTGTTATGCACAATTGCAAAGGAAGGTGGAATATTAGATGTGCCCCAGAAGCTCCATTTTTACTCTTCAGTATACAATGTTGGCTGGCGGATTTGCTTCCCTTGCAGACTTCTTAAATACTGCAATTGATTAAAGGCTCCTTCTGTATTGAGGTAGGTTTCTCATGTGGAGCATTTAAAGCAGTTGCAACTTGATAAGGTTTAGTAACAGAAGAAGAGGAGGAAATGCTTTTGTACAGCCCAAAATCCCTCCTGCGCAAAAGCAGCTCCTGTCTGCTGCGCTGAAAGGCAGTTGGCACGGTGACACCTCAGTCACGTAGCCCAGCCTCCAGCTTGCCTTTTTGTCCTTGTCTCCAGAGATGGGATTCAAGAACAAGATGTTTTGTTGTTCAGGAACAAGTGAGCGTTGTGGACTGGTACTAAAATAGCAAAAACAAAAACCCCTCCCCTTTAAACGGGAAATGATTTTGCCTAAGCCTTAAATGCAGTGTGTGTGTGTGTGTGTGTGTGTGTGTGTGAGAGAGAGAGAGAGAGAGAGAGAGAAACATTAATTATATTATATTTTTAAAGTAAATACTTTTAAGACATCAATATATTTAACAAGGCGATGCTACATAGAAACAATCATAAGCATTGTTAACGGAAACATTATTTCATTTTATAAAGCTGCCACTATTAAGAGTTTCTCTTATTTAACCATAAAATTCACTTTTAACTAGTTCAGGTTAAATACTTCATGCTTTAGCAGATGTTGGACCAATCTGACAAAATTCTCTATAGTTTGTTACATGGTTATTGTGCCCAAGTCCTAAGGAAGGATGCATCTCATATTCCCAATATTGGCAGCTGTACTTTGCGGTTTTTATATTATAAGTTTAAAGTATATTGCACTTGTTTTAATTGTGACATTGATGTAACCTGCCCTGGTCCCAAAGTTGCTCTTCCAATGCGCAGGTTGAGAGAAGGTGGTGGCTGCACGTTGAGCAGCAAACACAGGGTAATGCTGCATTAATGAAATAATAACCCAGGACTCAAAAAAACAACAACCACTTCTTGGCATGACAAAATCTAAGTGGTTTGCAATTTGTAGTCTAGCCAATAGTTTCCTCCATCGCCTGCTGCTGATCCCTTGGCAGGATTGTAAGATGTACAGGTGCCTTTCAAGTAGTCAGGCATTGCCCATTAATAATCTCCCACTGATACAAACATCTAGCACCATTTCCTGCAGGCAATGTTTCAAATATTTATTTTTTAAAAAGATTGAAATCCACATTCATATCACCGTCATTTGCACAGGACATTTAATTGTTTTTCCAGCAGCATGATTAAGGAAACATGTGAGAGTCGTAGCAGCAAAGCAGAAAACTTTGTGGTTGGGGAAAGATGTGGCTTAAAGTGTATGGTACATGGACATGAATATGTAGCCCTATGACTGTGCCTTAGAATTTGAGGGGAAAACAGACTAGTATCTGATGATACTACTGAATCTTTGAGCTTTTATAATCATCTCCAAATTGGGAGAATTAATTTCAGAAATGGAGGGAGAAGTGAGAATCAGAAACGAGTTTGATCACAACTACAATTCTTTAATCTAACCAGAGCAAAATATGGATTTGCACATGCCCATTGCCTCATTAATGTAGGGGTGTCCACATGATGTCATCTCCATTCCAGTGTTGTTGCAGACCTCCCCTCTTCAAAAGTGACTTTTCATTTGTTGTTTTATCCTGGCTCTTTTGGACTTTCAAAGGATTGGGGGGGCGGGGACAACTGCATTTAAAGGGGACAAGTTCTAAGAAAACACTACATTAATGGGGAGACAGTCAGGTACAATTCCCTAGAAGAAAAGATTACAACATCTGGGACTTCTTAGTTGAGAGAAAATGTGAATAACAGGGGTATGACAGACTTGTATAGTGGGCCAGGTTCAAGGTATTTGTGTTAATACACAAAACATCTTGGGTACCTTAGGGACCACGTAGTTCCTTATGGTCCCTCTTGATCACTGTGATCCTCTGATGGGGTATTTCTGGTGCTTCTCCAATCCTCGTGCCCCTGAGGTTCAGTTGGTCTTCATTAGGGACCAAGTCTTGAGAGTGGCATGATGCCTTGCCCTCTTGAACTCCCTGTCAGTAGAGGTTCAGCAGGAACCAACTTTTCTTTCCATCAGACGCCTTCTGAAAAGAGGAGACTATATGATAGTCATCTTCAAATATCTAAAGACTGTCACATGAGGGATGGACAGCTTGTATTCTCCTGCTCTGGAATGTAGGACCCAAACCAATGGATTCAGGTTCCAAAAAATAAGAATCTGACTAAACATCAGGAAAAGCGTTCTGACAGTGAGCTGTTTGACCATGGAACAGACTTCCATGAGAGATGGTGGGCTCTCCTTCCTTGGAGGTTATTAAGCAGTGGTTGGATGGCCATCTGTCATGCATAATGTACATAAAGCTACTTCAGCTTTTATCCTAGTATATTATTGTGAAGAAAAAAGGAGTGTTTGGAACTATCATGATAGTTGTGGAGATAGAAATTGTGACATGATGGATGAAAAACCATCTTCTACCATGTCTTTGTGATACCTTCAAAGCAAGCCAAATCTGTACCTGGACTGGAGGAAAGTTGGGTAGATGACTTCTTTAGCTTGTTCAGGCTCTGTGATTCAGTAGGTGGCAGTCTTCTCTCTCTTTTGGCACAAAATCTTTAGCACTGCGCTTAACTGAAAGAAAGAAGCACCAGAAGGTTATGTTTTGGATGGTACTTTTATTTATTTATTAAATTATTTGTAGCCCTCAAACTCTGTGATCATATTGTCTGGTTTCCTGATTGCAAAATTAGGCAATTTTCAAAGCACTCATGTTCACTGCAAAGCAGCTTGCTTGCATTTGGGGTTTAACCCCACTTTTTATGAAACAGTGCAGGCACTATTTGTAACCTTATGGCTGCTGCCAACATAGACTACAACATTTCTATTGAAAAGTTGAATCTGTCAAGGCTGCCTTCATTCAACAGTTTCATTCCCCTTGACAACAGAACATTTTGCCCTTGAATTCATATCTCATGATCAAACAGAAGGCTGGCAAATATAAACAAGACGCCACAAAAGAGGCTTCATACTGATAACATTATTTCCTATTTATCCTACCCTGAAAGGTCAGTACAACTTCTAGTCAACAAACTTCATATTTATACTGCAGTATCAGACCTGCCAACCAATTACAATAAATCAGCGAGGTGGGGTGGACCCATCCATTAATCAGTGTGCAACCCTCAAGAACTATAGCAAGTGAATGACTTCATTGGCTTCTGGAACCTCCCCTTTGGAGTGCTTCAGGTACGATCAGAAATTCAACCCAAATGGTCAAAGAGGTCAATCTGGAAAGTGGAAAGGGGTAAAACACCAAGATAACAATTCTTTACAGCCCAATCCTATGCATGCATCATTGGAGGTATATTTAGACAGAATTGCCCATTTACTTACAGACCTCTTCAGAGCAGAGGGAAATCATTCCTTACCAGCAACTCAAGGAGAGATGTTAGGGTCATCAACTTCCTCAGTCAATCCAAGTGGATAGCTCAGTTGGTTAGAGTGTGGTGCTGATAACTCCAAGGTTGCAGGTTTGAACCCCATAACGGACAGCTGCATATTCCAGCATTGCAGGGGGTTGGCTAGATGATCCTCAAGATTCCGTCCAACTCTACGATTCTATGATAATGAGTGCATGGTGGATTTTCTTTTGGGAAAATAACTTTTTGCCCAGGCAGGCACATTTTGGGACCCATGAGAGCAGCAAAATAACAAGACGGTACAACAGTGATGGGATAAAATTAGGCCATATTTATCTGTCTGTCTGTCTGTCTGTCTATCTATCTATCTAGTCCAGAGCAGTAGAGTGGCCAAACTTACATTTTCATGTGTAAGCAATATGTAGTGGAAGAGAAACACAGAGGCATGCAACTGCAAGATTTGTGTTTTCTTCAGAGCAGCAGCAATGACATAATCTGCTGGAGTGTCAGGATAACTGGTATAGCTTCCTTGCTCTTGCAAGTGAATGGGGTGGTAACATGGCTTTCACATTTTGCTACTGCTTGTGACAGATCCACACAGAGGAAGTTTGAGAATAAGGAACATAATTTTAAGGCTGGAGACTTCCTATGTGAATCAGCAACACCTCCCTTTCTTTATCCAGTCATAGACAGATGCCAGAACAGAGTGTCCGTGCTCACATGGAAATTTGTGTCACTTTGATACTGTTTTGCAAATGTCCTATAAGCATTTTCACTTGACCAGACTTTTGTAATGATTAATCATACACATTGATGTTGTCCATCTTATTATGTATCTTAGCTGCATATGAAGGTTGGACTGGAGAGGATTGGGGATATATTTCTTCACTGTTCATTTTCTTCTGGATATAAACATATTTTTTAACTTTGGCTATTGCACTACAAATCAGTCCATACTGAGCTGATCTACCTTTCAGTGTCTGAGCCAGTAAGGTGAGGGTTACATCTCCATGCAGTGTCTTTTCCTCACTCCTATTTTATATTAGAAACAACAAGTAATTCCTAGACACATTCACCTTGGTTTTTTATATCCCTGACTGAATTAGTGGTATATTCCTGCCTAAATAGCATCATCTGTCTAAGGACTGGAGGCATTGTACCAGAACATGTTCGCTTAATTGAAAAATGTTACCTTGATTTTCCTATGTCTTAGTGTAATCACCCAACCACACCTTTTAATTTAACTACAATCATTTTAATCAGGTTAGAAGGATAACAATGTAGTTGTGGCTAAATAGCCAATATTGAGGGGATCCATTATTCTATGATATGTTGAGCCTCATTTCATTGATAACCAAAGAGAGAGTGTAACCTATCTCATTTTTTGCTGTTCTTTTTTTTAACTCTTGGACAAAAAGCGTGTTTGTTCTGTAAGTGTAATGGCACCACATGCACTGAAAGAGCCAACTGTTACATAAACGAAAAGAAAATGCTAACTCTCTGCACCATGACTGATAGTTACTGAAACTGGTTTTCCAACCTAGGGTAAGTTGCACCAGTGATGATACCATTTCAACAAAAATTTTACCATGCATTTCTTAGGGTTGCCATATCTTGAAGAGCAAAAAAGAGGACAGCCAGAGCCGCTGCCAGCCAGAGCCAGGGAAAAAGACTTGCAGGGGTGGACGTACAGGGCTGCCGCCACTACCTGCACACCTCATGGCTCAGGCTGGCAGCAGCCGCAGTGTGCAGAGCATCCCAAGCCTGAGTCTGAGCCCAAGCTTAAGCCCGAGCCACTAAAAAACCCCCCAGTCCCCCCAAATCCTAGTCATTTCCTTTAAAATGTAAAAAAAGAAAAGAAAAACTGCCTGGATGGGCATGTTGGCTCCCCAAAAGTGGACATGTCTGGGTTTCCCCAGATATATGGCGCCCCTCACAACAACAGATCTGGAATATCAGGTAATGCCTAGCATCCAGTAGAGGTAGTTTGTGAGCAGTGGTGGACCTTAGGGACTCAAATTTCAGTGATGCCCTGTGCAATTCAGCTGTCCTCCCCACTTCTCACCTTCCATTTTACATAGTTGCAGCACCCCCTGCAGCACTCCTGAGGCTCTGCGCCCAGTGCCGCCAAACCAGTTGCATTTCCCTAAATCCCCCTCTGCTTGTGTGTGTGGCTCCTGCCCTGCTTCCCTCAAAGGTGGTGGAGGCAGCAAAGAGCTTTATAGGGCTCAGATGTTTTTCCTCTCCTCAGCCAACCAGTGTTTCTGTAGGCTTTAACTCCAAAGCCACTTTTAGTAGCAATGGTCCCCATGAGCCCAGGCAGCACTAAAGGTGAATTTCTCTTCTGGACAGAGTGAAAACTATTGGTCTGTACCAGTTATTTTTGAGGAACACTTGTTTTTTTCCATGAACTTGTCTGCCAATGGACCTCTGTTCATTGCAGATGAGTCAAGGTGTGCTTTTAGGCCTGTTGAACTCCACTGTGTCCTTGCATGAATGAGGACACACCCTGCAACTGTACAATGCAGGGGAAGATTAGCAGCAGAAGGCAGGCTGTCTCTCAGGGAAATTTCTGTCTTTGTACTGAGCTTTTCCATGAAGAACCCCAGATAAATTTCTAAGGAAACGTCAGGTTCCTGCTGACCAAACAGCATTCTGCTCACACAATGGGATTTCATCTTACTTTTCTCTTCTTGAACCGCCTCAGATCTGCTCCAGAGTGTCCCTCCGCCCTCTGAAGACTTTGAGCATGCCCAAGGGACTTCAAGGGAGAGGAGGGAATACTCTGTTGTGCAAATGCAAGTCTGTTGTGCAGTGGAACAGTCCATTGGATGCAGCCCACAGTGAGAACTAGTGGTATATATCATGCTGCTTATTCCACTGTCCCCCCCCTCATGTAATGAACTCTGTAACCTATCCATGGCATTGCTGCATTTCTTTCTCTCCCAAGTTAACCACTAGCAACATTCACATCAGATATTTTCTGGATCCCACCCCCAGTATCATTGACTAAAAAGCACACTATTAAAAACACATTCAAGCAATGACTATGTGAGCTAAAGGCATGTCTGAAAGCAGCTTAATTGTGCACCTAACAACTTTAATGGGATTTTTTTATTTTCTTTTGCATTGGCATGAAATCCAGGGTATGGTCCATTCTAGATGTGTGAGAAGGATGTAAAGGTCAAGATAATAATTCTGATATGTCTCCTAGCCAGTAGTGAACTTATTTTTTCCTGACTGCTGTGCTGGCAAATGCGATGTGACAGAGTTAACTATTTCCTCAGGGCCACGCTTATGGTGCTTTGTAAATTAATGCAGAACATTAGTAGACATGGCAACCTTTTATGGAAGAAGTAGTTGCATTAACCTAATGGTGTAATGAAGAACAGAGCAAAGAACCTCCTTCTGTTATTAGGAGATAACACACCAAGAAATATTTTTTTATTAAAAAAGTAGCAGAAAACATTGCAGGTAGAATCTGGTGGATGTTAGTTGAAATCCACTGAACTAGAATAATGGCTTTCGAAACATGTTGAGGAGATTTTGGGAAATTTCCCTGAAACACAGCTTGTCCATTTTCCACCGCTGCCACCACCAACCAAAGGTCTATCTATTCCAGTATTTTGTTTTCACTGTGGCCAACTAGAAACCCCAAGCAGGACATGGTCCCACTCACATTCTCCTGCTCGTATTCAGAGGTGATTCTGCCTTAATTATATATAGCCATCATGACTAGTAGCCGTTGATGCTCCAGTCTCTCCTTTCAGTGTGTACTAGAAAGGATACTGGGTGTACGGTCAGGAGTGCACTGAACTGCACTCTTAGTTCATGCCTAGTGACAAGCTTTACAAAAGCACCTTACATGAATGGATTGTGTGTCCTACAATAGCCTCTAGAAATCTTGACATGCAGTGGGTTTGTGGCAATGTGTGTGTGTGTGTGTTTGTGAACAGCTGTTTTTCCACATATAAATCAATGGGGAAGTGATTCCTTATTTGAAAATACTGAATCAGGGTACACAGGCAAATGCTTTCTTTGGATGAATCCGATCACATGGGCAGGGTCTACTCCTATAGGACTTGATGTGTGGAAGCTTCATTTGATGTTCAGAGTTCTACCTGCAGCAAAAGATAGGGCTGAAACCTACCTTTCAGGCCTACTGGCGTATTCTGTTGTTGTTTAGTTGTTCAGTCATGCCTGACTCTTCATGACCCCATGAGCCAGAGCATGCCAGGCACTCCTGTCTTCCACTGCCTCCTGCAGTTTGGTCCAACTCATGCTGGTAGCTTCGAGAACATTATCCAACCATCTCGTCCTCTGTCGTCCCCTTCTCCTTGTGCCCTCCATCTTTCCCAACATCAGGGTCTTTTCCAGGGAGTCTTCTCTTTTCATGAGGTGGCCAAAGTATTGGAGCCTCAGCTTCACAATCTGTCCTTCCAGTGAGCACTCAGGGCTGATTTCCTTCAGAATGGATTGGTTTGATCTTCTTGCAGTCCATGGGACTCTCAAGAGTCCTCTCCAGCACCAGAATTCAAAAGCATCAATTCTTCGGTGATCAGCCTTCTTTATGGTCCAGCTCTCACTTCCATACATCACTACTGGGAAAACCATAGCTTTTACTATACGGACCTTTGTTGGTAAGGTGATGTCTCTACTTTTTAAGATGCTGTCTAGGTTTGTCATGGCGTATTCTAGGCTATTGCAATATTTATATGAAATGTGCTGCATCTGGACGGGTCTAAGGAAGTTGAGTTGATGAGAACAAAATGAAACCTGCATTTACACTCTCAGTGGTGGAAACTTGTATCCCTTGCTTATGTTTCTCTGTAAAGGTTACATGCCACCCCAATATCCACAAGTGGTGAGAGGTCCCAGAGGTTCCAGGTGCACTTACCAGGGTCTGTGTTCCCTTTTGGGACAATAAGGCACAGCAGAGACTGTGCTGTCTTTATGAAATATGGTTTTATTGACTTATATATACAACCAGCACCTAGGATTGCAGAGCATTCACATCCTACGAGGCCTGGCTTCCCCCTTAAGGGCATCAATAGATTCAAAGGACAGCAAAATGCCGCACTCTGTGTCTTTTGGTTCCCTCCTTCTCCTTGCTGCTAGCCAGCTCCAAGAACCTTCCC